GGTAGTTAACGAATAGGGTAGCTCGTAAGTAGTTCATAAACTACTCAATTTAAACTCGATTTGAACTTGATTTATTTGATAAATGAGTCAAGCTCGAATTTAATATTGAGCTTGATTAAAAAACGAGCTTGACCTTGAGTTTCCATGATTACTCGAGAGCTATTTGGAGTATTTGATTTAAAATTAAAAATTATATTACATTGGCCTAAATGATGGCAACCCAAGATGAGAGATTTTAAAAAATTATGCAATTTTTATTAGTAAATCAATGAACAAGCACATGCAATTGCAAATGCATAAATTAAAGTGTAGAAATTGAAAGAAAAAAGGAAGAACAAGCTCAAACATGATGATTTATAGTGGTTCAGTCATAATTTGTGCTTTGCTCACTCCTTAAGCTATCTACTTGAGAGTTTCCTTTGGATTCAAAACCTCTTCTCCAACTTCTGAGTATAGAGGAAACCATTTACAATAGTTTTATCAATGCTATCAACCTTTAACAAACTAACCCTTTGTTACAATCTCTCATCAACCCAATCTTATGTCACAATTATGGTTTTTCTAGATCTAATAAGGTTATCCAATCCCTCTCTTACTTTCACAATGAAAGAGAATGAAGAAAACAATGATCACAAGATGATTAGAATAAAAAGTTTAAGCACAAAGAACATGAAAAGTTGTAACTCTTTTTTTCTCAAAGATGAAGGCTCTTCTTTTATTTTTTCTTCACATTTCTTCAACCTCCAATGACTTATATTTATTTTTCAAGAGTGCTTAATTTATGCTTTTAGCTGTTACACTAGATTTAAAAATAATCTTACTCAACTTGGAATGTAAAACTTGCCTTTTGCATTTTGGTTTCAAACCCTACTCATAAGTTCCGAACCTTTTCTTAATTCTCTTCATCGTTGGAATTTGAAGATTTGTAAAAGTTATGCACCTTCTTGCTTTGGGTCAGAACCTTTTTATCAAAACCTGCAAGTGATAAAATTGTTTCTTCAAACGGTTTGGAACTAAAAATATGGGGTTAGAACTTATTATAAAGGTGGAGCCAACCCGAAAACAGTAACTTCAAAGGTTCTAGGCTTTTTTTGGGTTTGTTTCACATCTTTTTGTACAAAAGTGCATTTTGGAAAGGTTTTGACGAGGAAACTTAATTTCTTTTGAAAAGGTTTTTCATTTAATAATTAGGTTATATATTCAATCTCAGAAATATATTACCGAGAATATAATAACTTTTTTCATTAACGAAGAAAAATCTTAAATTGACATTCCAAAAGTCAATTATATTTCAAAGTTTAAAATTATCCCTTTCACATTTATAATTGAATTTTTTTTTCTTTAAAATAGCATAACAAATAAAGTTAATTGGATTAAAAGTGTGTAACAAACAAATTTACATTTCTATCAAGTTTTGGCATATCAAAATTAAGGTCAATAATATTATATATTTATTTATTAAATTTAAATCTATAACAACTTGAAAATTTAACAAAGCTGAAAAACTAACTTAAATAAATTATATATTTTAAGTTATAACTATTAATAAAATGTACAAATAGAGTTTATGGGTTTTTTTTATTAGGCTTGATATATATAAGTTTTTTGTGCTACAATATTTTTCTTAAATATAAAAAAATTTATAATTAAGTAATTAATTATTGAAACATTTTAGAATTATAAAAAAAAAAAAAACTTGAATTTAAATTAAAATGCTAGTTGGATTGTGCTTGTGAGTAGACTCGAATTTACTTGAATACTCATAAGCTTGAGTGTGAGTTCAACTATTTTGAACTTAACAAATAAAGTTTAAATTTCTAAAGTGAACTCAAGGATGAGATGTAGATATTGAACCCAACTTGACTCATTAACAGTCCTACCTCCATGCCCACTACTCAGCCGCTGCATCCAATCTTTAAATCAAACTGACCAAGTGGCAAGCCTTTGTTGTCATTCTTCGCCGCCCCTGCGTAAGAGATGCCGACCAACTTGCTTTTAGTCTTTGACTAGAAATTTCTTTTCAAAAGCTTTCTCACTTACTATTTTTTAATTTAGTTGATAAATGCATGCAGCAGGCCCTTTAGTTTTCATTAAAATCCAAAAATAATTGAAAATTTTTTAATAAATACATCAAACCATTATTCTAAAAGGCCAACATGCATCTTATTTTTGCTTGAAATTCCAAAGAACATCTATGTTAGAATTCAAATTAATAAGTTCTAGCCTGCTGGTTCATTACTGTCTCACACCAAATAGCAACAGAGTTGTGTTTCCCAGCGATTTTGATGTTGGTTTTTTTGCAACTAAGAGGATCTAAGATAATGGACAGTTTTTTGTGGGGTATGACTTGACTTTTGTCCTTATTTTTGCTCCTTATCACGTGCAACTTTTCTCCCACGATCTCCTATGTGATTTTGCGGATAGATTATGATTTTATTAACTATACTGCACAAAGCGAACAGCAGATTTATCTTGGTAATAATTAAAAGGTTTTTTTAATTTATATTCTTAGAGTATAGTTTAAGAAAATAATTAATATATTTTTTTATTATTAAATTATATAAAAAAAATTTAATTTTAATTTTAACAATTAATTAATTAAATTAAGACATGTGATATTGATGTTAAAATTAATATAAACTTTTTTTTAATCTTTTTTATAAATTAATAACTAAAAAATATATTAATTATGTTCTTAAAGCACAAATTAAAAAAATCTTAATTAAAATTTAAGCAATAATAATAAAATTAAAGTAATCAAGTATCATGATTAATATCTAGTTTAACTTTAACAGCATTATAAAACAAAAGATTTTTTTAATTTGATTATAAAAAATATATTTTTTATTATAAATTTGTATTAAAAATAAAAATTAATTTTTAATTTATTAAAATTTAAGCAATAATAATAAAATTAAAGTAATCAAGTATCATGATTAATATCTAGTTTAACTTTAACAGCATTATAAAACAAAAGATTTT